TATCAATGCTGCGCAATTAAATCAGAAAAATTACATCTACTGCACTTCCAAGACCCCAAGGACAGGTAGGAGAGATAGGTTAACCATCCTGTGTGAAATCAAGAACACCCCTCACTTCCCCCCCATTCCGGCATCATTTTCCCCAGACTCACACACACACACACATATAACTGGTGCTTGCTATTCTAGCATTTCGAGCTTCCTGTTTTAGCTTAGGCCAGAGTCTTTCAATGCAAAGGCTTCCAGAGAGAAAAGTGAAGTCGAATCAGTCATATCTCAATCTATGCCTTTTCTTAAGAGCAGACCTCGAATAGAATCAAAAGGAAAGGCACCAGACTCTAAGGGATGAGGGGAAAGTACAAACATGAAGTAGGCTGCTGAATTTGACAAAAGCTAACCCTGAGTTGCATTAAATATACCAGATGGTCCTTGACTTACAATGGTTCAACTTATGGTTTTTTGACTTTACAGTGGTGCAGAAGTGGTATGTACAAACCGTTACTTCCACTTTTGATCTTTTCCCAGGCTAGTGATATTGGTACAAAACTCTCTTGAGATGCAGGAGGCAGCAGTGAGACACAACTCCCAGTGAGCCACGCGACACCACGAATGACGATACTCTGCAGTGTATTCTCAAGCCTCATCAGAAGATTCATGACTCCGTCACTATGGCATCCCCATCACCTAGCAATTAATTTTAGCTCAATGAAATTAATTTTAGCTCAGTGCTTCAAACATTGTTAGGCTTTGAGTTTGCTTTGAGCTGTGTATTAATGGTGAGTGTGCATATAGACTACTCTGTTTTTCACTTTTAGTACATTCAACACTTTTAAGAGACATGGCATGATCATAGCTCACTGCAGCTTCAATTTCATGGGCTCAAGCAAGCCTCCCACATCAGCCTCCCAAAGTGCTAGGACTACAGTTGTAAGCCACCAAACCCCACCACAAGAGTTATAACATAGGTTTTGTATAGCTGATTCCAACCAATTGTAGGCCAATGTGACTGTTATGAGCATGTTTTAAAGTAGGCTAGGCTAAAAGCTGCAATGTTCAGCAGGTTGGTATGTATTTAACGGATTTTCGACTTGTTTTTCAATGAATAATGGGTTTATTGGGATGTAACCCCATTAAGTCGAGGAGCATCTTTACATAGAACTTATAAAATGATCAAGGTTTAAGATTTATGTCATGGGGAGGGTACACCTCATCAACAAGGGTACCTGCATAATGAACATTTGCATACCTAACCCTGAATTGTTCCCCACATTCTTAAAAAAAAAAAAACATATTTATGATACTAAGCAGCAGAAAAGTAAACACTCAATGTAAAATATGCTTTATTAGGTTAAATTCCAAGAATTAAAAAAGTCCTAGTGAAGCAGAAAATTCACTATTAGGCAACATATGGGAGAGAAAAAGATAGCTCTTGAGAATTAAAAACAACTGCTGAAAAATAAAAAAGTTGAAAGACAGTAAAAATTCTACCAGAATATAAGAACAAGCAAAAAGATGAAAAAAATGAAATACAGACTAGAGTTATTCTAGAATTTAATAGAAGCTCCAAAAAGAGAACAGAGAAAACTTGGGAAAAGTTATCAAAGAAATCACACAAAACACTCCTAGAGCTAAAAATAATGAAAACAAAACAAGCGGAAAAAAAAACACCTACACAGTAAACTAACTGCTCAAAAAGAGTACGTATAGTAGCCAGGCGTCGCTCATGCCTCTAATCCCAACACCTTGTCTTTGGAAGGCCGAGGCAGGAGAATCACTTGAGGCCAGGGGTTAGAGATCAGCCTGGGAAACAGACCCTCATTATTACATTATTTAAAAAAAAATAGCTGGGCTTGGTGGGCCATGCTTGGTGGGGACTATAGTCCCCATAGTCTTAGCTACTCAGGAAAGCTGAGGTAGGATGATCACTTGAGCCCAGAAGGTGGAGGCTACAGTGAGTTATGATCATGCCACTGTACTCCATCCTGGGTGACAGAACAAGACCCTGTTTCTAAAAAAGTAAAATTAATGTATAAAAAAATATGATCAAGAGCAAACTGATATGAGGAATGAGTTTGAGGAAATGTTCATGTGAACTTGACACTTACCATTCTTCCTACAGACACACACAGTAGTAGAATTATTAGGAATAGTAAAGGAAAGGCACAAGACTTTGTGAACAATATTTATATAATGTAAACACTGGCTATTAATTTCCAGTTTTAGGACCAACCTGAAGATATAACAAGGGAGAATTTATGGTTATGAGAGCAACTGTTGGGAAACATAAAAATACAATTTACAGATGTTACAACATACAGAGGGAAGGGAAAAGGTGCCTTTAACATCACTTCACAATATAGTTCTGAGGTTAGACTGGCTATTAATTTCCAGTTTTAGGACCAACCTGAAGATATAACAAGGGAGAATTTATGGTTATGAGAGCAACTGTTGGGAAACATAAAAGTACAATTTACAGATGTTACAACATACAGAGGGAAGGGAAAAGGTGCCTTTAACATCACTTCACAATATAGTTCTGAGGTTAGAGAAAATTCAATCTTTTATTATTCAAAGTCAAATAGATGTTTGAAACTTGGCGAGACAAAAATAGAATGCAAGTTCAGTATCCCAAATCCCAAAATCTGAAATCACGATGTTCCAAAACCCCAAATTTTTGAGTGCCAATAGGATGCCACAGATTGTTCATGAGTGGCTGAGATAGTGACACTTTTATTTTCAATGGTGCAATGTATATAAATTTTGTTTCATGCACAAAATTATTTAAAATAGCATATAAAAATTATCTTCAGGCTATGTGTATGAGCCACACGTGAAACAAATTTCAGTTTTAGACCTGTGTCCCAACCCCAGGATCTCTCATTACATATCATGCAAATATTCCAAAATCTGAAAAATTCTGAAATCTGAAACATTTCTGGTCTTGAGCATTTCGGATAAGGTATACTCAACCTGTATATGATGGCAATGACCAGAAATGGCTAAAGGGAGTGGCTGTTGGATGTGGGATAGAATTTAGAAAGAGAGGGGCAGAAGATGATAAACTCTTCTATGTCATTTCATTTTCCAATTATATATATATATTTGTCACTTGGTAATTTTTTTGAGATCGGGTTTTACTCTGTCACCCAGGCTGGAGTACAGTGACATGGTCACAGCTAAACACAGCCTTGAACTCCTGAGCTCAAGCAATCCTCCTGTCTCAGCCTCCCAAGCAGCTGGGACTACAGGTGCACGCCACCATGCCCAGCTAATTTTTCTTTTTTGTTGTTTTTTTTAGAGATAGGGTCTCATTTTTCTGCCCAAGCTGGTCTCAAACTCCTAACCTCACATGATCCTCCCACCTTAGCCTCCCAAAGTACTGGGATTACAGATGTGACCCACCATGCCCAGCCAACTTTGATAATTTTCAAAGAAATTATTCAAACCTAGCATTTACAGTTGGTCATAATGGTGGTAGATAATGTATGATTTCCTTTCCTTTTAAATATTTTTAATATTTGACTCAGTAATGCTATTATGGTAATTTGACAAATTAAGCAAAACAAAAAACTTGTAAAAAGCAATCTGTTCACAGAAGGAACAATTTCTATTTTGTAAAAAAAAAAAAATGAAAATGTAAGACTTGCCTTTAAATGCTCTTCCTAAACAAAATAAATTAGAAAAGGAAATTAAGACATACAGATCAATACAAACAACGCATTTAGCCTTTCCCAGATGTCAGATTACTAAAGAAAAATGAAATCTTTCCTATATTTTTATTATTTGAACTTTCCTTTTTGAGTTGTCTGTTCTTTGTGTATTCTTTTACTGGAATTCCTACATACCCACATAGAAAGAACTCCATATTAAGAGTCTCCTGGGGTCACAGCAATATTTTTCATTGTCTACTTTTCACTCGTTTCACATAGGCAACTAATCCTCTAGTGATCAAATCCGCTGTTTTGTGATTTCTGTCCTTAGCTTAAAGTCAACCCTTACACCCAATTCAATGGTTTAACATTTATCTATTTTTGTAGTTTGATATTTTGCAATTCAAATTCAATTAACTTTGAATATGGCATGGAGCAGGCATCTAACCAGTTATCCTAACACTATCTGGTGAATAAACGCCTTCCTTTTTCCTATGTGATGCCTCACTTGTTAACAAAATTCCTTTAACAAGACACACATTGAGGACATGCCACTTTGGATTGTTTAGGTGAACAATAACACTCAATACTGGTGATTTGTGTCTCCCCAATATTTACACCTCACTTGTATCTTAAACGTTTGCGTTCACTCATTTAATGATTTATTAAAAACTTCTTGTATTCTAGGCACAGTAAGTTCAAGATAAATAATGGTGAACGAAGAACAACAAAGTTCTTTCCCTCATCAACCTTGAAATATGAATCCAAAAAAATTATGGCAAGAGTGAATAGCATTATCTTTGTTGATAAATGGGTTTAAGTTCTAATTATTGATTTTTATTACATTTGTGTATTAATGTATACTATACATTAGTATATATTTATGTAAGATTTCTTTATTCACTACATTGGTTACATAAGATACAATAAAACAGTTCAAGATATGAGTTGAGACAATGATATAGAACAAAGAAAAATTAAAAGTACTGTTGGAAAACTTATTTCGTTCTTTATTTTCAAGGAAAAACTGTGTATTACAATAACAAAAATTTTTATGCCATTGAGTACAGAGCTTATGTTGCAGACATTTAACCATTTTCATTACACATCTAATGATCTAAAATCAAAATCACTCTGAAGGACTTAAGTCTTCCACTGTTTCATAAAGATCATGTTATCACATTAGAGTGACACACTACTGTTTTAAAGGCTCAAGTAAAAATGAGACCCAATAATTTTTAACCAAAAGTGTATCATATCCTATTTTCTTGCTTATACATTATACTAATACTTGGCATTTAGACATGAAGCCTGTCTAGACACCCTGAAGAATACACTAGAAATAAGCAAGACATGTAGAATGCTTTAATATTTCCAGTTAACATCATTTTTATTAGTAGCTGCAATATTGTAACTTTTAGCATTTAGCATAACTAATCAGTAAGGATTTTTTTAAAGGGTGGAAGTGATAACAGCAGGATAGGAGCTATGAGAATGTCAGTTTCATACTTCTGTTAAAAACACAAAAATCAAAACTATTTTCTTCTCTGCCTCAAAACTACCACAGACTTGAAAAATGTTTAAGCTTTAATCCCACGATTCATCATCTACTGGATTGGGAGCTTGTGAAGAAAACCCAACCGTGTTCAAAGTGCTCTTGCCCTGGAAATTCTTTTAAAAAAAGAAAAGAAGAAATATTTAATTTTATGACAGCTTTAATGCTGCATTACTCAGATAAAGCAGGTACTCAAGCTATCCACAATGTCTTCCCCAAATATATAAAATAACTTTATTCTCACTAAATGTGGTTCATTTGAAAAAAGGCCCATGTCAAACTAGGAAGTTTAACTGCACAAAATATTTCTGAAAAAGTTTTTTTAAGACAATAGTTTTGGCCAGTGGGGAAAATGGAACACTTTAACAAATAAGCAGAAATAATTAGTGTACTCATTGTTTCTGTATAAAGATGGTGCTGCCTATGAAAACTGACATAGCAGCAAAGACAGCCCCATAGCTTTTATATTTTATCTTAATATGGTCAGAATTCCAAAATTAAAGAATTCAATTGCAAGTTCAGAAGATCTCAAATTAAAATTTAAAATTTGGGAAAGAAGGATGCTTGGGCATAAATCTCAAAGTTAATCACTCACCTTTAAAATAAAAAATAAATATGTACATAACATTTTAAAGAAATAACAGAGATGGGTGTGGCGGCTCTTACCTGTGATCCCACTTTGGGAGGCCAAGGCTGGAGGACTGCTTGAGCCCAAGAATTTGAGACCAGCCTCGGCAACATAGTGAGACCTCGACTCTACAAAAAAAAAAAATTAGCTGGGTGTGGCGATGTATACCTACAGTTCCAGCTACTTGGGAGACCAAAGTGGAAGGACTGCCTGAACCCAGGAGGTTGAGGCTTTGGTGAGCTGTGATTGTGCCAATGCATTTTAGCCTGGGCAACAGAGTGAGACTCTGACTCAAAAAACAATAACTTAAAAAAAATGAAATAATAAAGTAGCTACCTTCTAGATAAGAAAACAATGGTTAAGGTAAGTTATTAAATATTACAGTTACTTCACAGTATTAAGCGCAACACTTACAAACATTAACTAGAAGCCAAGTTTTTAACTTTTTCCTTCAACTAACCTTCCTAGTGTCAACTGAGGCAAAAACATTTCCTCTTGTACTACCACTGAAGCCAGGAGCACATGTACTAAAGGCAATTTCTTCCAACCATGCAGGAACATCCTGTTGAGCCTTTAAAAAAAAATAATAAATGCAACGTAAGTAAAGTCTCAAAGACTGGAGAAGTTTATTTTTTATATATATCATATGCATAAAATATCTACTTCTAATGATAAAAACACTATTCATTCAGTTTTAAGAATTTAAAACTTACATCTGACAGTACTTTCACTAGAGGCTGTGCTAAATGGTTATCTGATTCAGGATCAAAAAAGGAAATAGCACTGCCAGTATTCCCACAACGACCAGTACGCCCAATTCGATGAACATATTCATCGATAGCAGAAGGAAGATCAAAATTGATAACATGTTGAACATTTTCAATATCCAGTCCTCTGGCAGCTACTGAAGTAGCAACAAGAACTGGACACTTTCCACAGCGAAAATCTCCAAGAGCTTGTTCTCGTTCTTTCTGTTCTCGATCACTTGAAAGAAAAGAAAGCATGTATTAAGACCATTCTTAAGAAAACATTAAAGAGAATTATTAAAGTTCAACATACAAATTTCTATTTAATAATAGTAAAAATAGCATCACTAACATACTTCTTATATACCAGGTACTATACATACTAATTCCTTCCAAGTAACCATCTTATTTAATCCTCACAACACTTGAATTGAAACAATTATCCCCATTTGCTGATGAGGTAAAGCAATAGCTAACACATAGAGCCAGAATACAAACTCAAGTGTGACAAACATCAAATCCTATTATAGTTTCAATGCTTTCTAGTCTTGACAAAAAATATCCAGCTATTCAATTAGAATGCTTGCTCAAAAAGTACAGATTTTTTAAAGACTTATAATTCCAGGACTCTATACTCAGTAATTAATATTTTAAATCCATTAGTAAAGGGACAATAAAGTTGTATTAATATGACATTTTTAAGCACTTCAATTCAAAAAAAAAAAAGTCAGGCATCAGATTCGACTGAGCAAAGGAAAAAGACGTAGATACAGAGTCAGAGAGGGCCAGAGATCCTTAAGTGAGATTTCTTGAGAAGTCTCCACCCCTGGTGATGGGGAGGTCTATGGTAAACCTTTAACTTGCCCACCACCACCACTTGAGTTCTAAAAACTAAGAATGAAGAATAACAGTTTGGTACTCCTGGATACTGCCCCTTACCTGGCACAAGGGGAGAAAAAAAAGAATAAGAGTTTAGATCCTTAGAGAATTCTGAATCCCAATCCTAGAATTATACCATATTAGTTATGTAAACAAAAGTGTCTTCAATGCCAAATCAAAGTCATAGACCTGCTAGAAAATCATATTAATCTACTCACCCATGAATACTTGTAGTTGAAATTTTTTCTTGACAAAGAAAAGTTGCAATAAAATCTGCTTTTTTCTTAGTTTCAACAAAGACCATAGTTCTTTCATCACCTACAAGACAATGAAATTATTAATATTCAAACTATAAAATTAGGAAAAGGAAAATGAAGGGATGAGGGAGTGTTTGAACAGGAAACCAAAGTATTTATTATCAGCACCCAGAGCCAGGTCTGGTCAACACAAGAGGGACTCAAACGTTTCCTGAATGGATGTCAGAGACAAAAACAAAATGACTATTTTCCTAGTTTAGGGATGAAAAAAATTATCTTGTATTTTTTCCTCCCAGGCTAATACCAGAAAGTATAGTCTTAGGGAAAGGCAAATCATGTCTGTCAACTCTTAGTAGTTTCAAATTTGTCTCAGTCCCTTCTACTCCTCCATTTCCTCCTCATAAACATCTCTGCTCTCTGAATCCAAGATAATCTAAACTCACTCTGCCTTGATTGCCTGCAGTGTTTATCATAGTGGCATCCAACTCCTGACTCCAGGCTGCCAAACTCTATAATCCATGTTCCAAACATTATCTCTTAATTCAAATCCCTTCATTCCCAAAATATTTTATATATTTAAAAAATTAAATGATAACCTTATCCTGGGGTCTTAACTCATTAAGGAATAGTTACTTTTCAAAGTATTTTTAAATTTTTTATAGAGACAGGGTATTGCTATGCTGCCAGGGCTGGTGTGCAAGTCTTGGCCTCAAGCATGAGCGTATTTAACTGGTAGAAATTCAAGTTTCTGAGCCAGAGATTTTCCACACAGAAAATTACCCTATAAAATGTTAGAGAAGAAAGATAATTTGTAGCCTTAATGGAAATAAGAATGTACTACTCTTCCTAACAACTCTCCCCCATTTCCCCATCAGCTCACTTCATTCATTTATTCAACAAATATTTAGTGCCTACAAGATGACAGTTGCTATTGCAAGTGTTAGAAATACAAAAATAAAGTCCCTGTTTATTGTGGGGAGGCAAATAATGTTATGCGTTTAGTTCGGAAAAGAAAAAAATATCAGCAAGATAAGGTTCCAGAGAGAGTTACCTTAGATAAATAACTATATGACATATGAGCAGAGGTATAAAGCTGGCAAACTGTGCAGACATCTAAGGAAAGAGCGTAAGACAAAGGAAAGGACAAGTAAAGGCTCCAAGACATGGGAGATATTTAAGTCTCAGGTATCTACTAGATGGCAAAGTGGCTAAATCAAAAGGGCAACTGAGCCAGGTGCAGTGGATCACACCTGTGATCCCAGTACTTTGGGAGGCCAACACAGGGGAACAGCTTGAGCCCAGGAGTTCACAATCAGCCCAGGCAACACAGCAGTTTTTGTGCTCATCAAGCAGAAGAGAGACTCCCATGATATGACCTCCACATCCCAGGCAGAGGAAACAACAAATACAAAAAGGCCATGAGGGCAGAAGTGTACCAGGTATACATGAAAAACAGGAATAAGCAACGTATGGCTGGAGTAGGGAGAGCAGTAGGAGACAAAGTCAGAGAAGTAATTGAAGCCATATCATAGAGGACCTTGAAGGCCACTGAAAGAATTTTTTTTACTCTGAGAAGGGAAGTCATCAGTTTTGAGCAGAGAATATGATGTGATCTTTGTTTTAACTGAACTTTGAATGGATTGTAGATATATTTTGATGGTAGAACCAAAAGGATTTTGCTGATAGATCAGATGTATAGTTAGAAAAAGAAATCAAGATGATTCCAAGATTTTGTGCTGAGCAACCAGAAGAATGGAACATTAACTGTATGGGAAGATCAAAAGAAAAAATGGTTTAGAGGTGATATTTAAGTCACAGATATCTATTAGATGACAAAGTAGCTAAATCAAAAAGGCAAGTGAGCAAAGTGCCATGGATCACACCTGTAATCCCAGCACTTTGGGAGACCAAAGCAGGGAGATGACTTGAGCCCAGGAGGTCGAGACCAGCCTGGGCAACACAGCAAGATGTCATCTCTACCAAAAAAAAAAAATTAGCTGGGTGTGGTGATGTGCACCTGCAGTCCCAGCTACTCAGGAGGCTGAGACTGGAGGATCACCTGAGCTCAGGATATTGAGGCTGTGGTGAGCTGTGATCAGGCTACTGCACTCCAGGCTGGGTGACAGAGTAAGACTCCGAATCAAAAAAAAAAAAAAAAGTTCCCACAATAATAAATGAGTTAAATCTTTCAATCATGGTCATTTTAGATTTCAAGAGTGGTGGTTTTGTTTTATGAAAACTTATCCCTCAGGTCAGGCATGGTAGCTTGAGAGGCTGAGGTAGGAGAATTACGTGAGGCTAGGAGTTTGAGACTAGCCTAGGCAACATAGTGAGACACTATCTCTACAAAAAATTTAATAAATTAGTGGGGCATGGTGGCATGTGCCTATAATCCCAACTACTTGGAAGGATTGTTCAAGCTCAGCTGTTCAAGGTTGCAGTGAGCTATGATCCTGCCACTGTACTCCAGCATGGGCAAATTAGGAAGACTATGTCTCTGTTTAAAAATATATAACCCTATATATTTATATATGGATATATATTTATATATATAATATATATGTTCATATATATTTCATTTTTTAAAATATATTAACAGTTTTGGAGGTTATCCAACAAAATGCCCAATGCCAAAATTGATTCATCTGACATAGCACTGCTGAGCAGCTCAAGACCCATCTTATCTTGGTTAATAAAAATTTAACTCCGCTAATTCTATTTCTCTAGCTTTTTCTTCTCTACTGATTTTGTATTTGTTCTATTTCAGACAATAAGCTACCCCACTGGTGACAGCAATGACCGCAAATTTAGGTTTATGATCAGTTATTTGGTGGTATCTGTAAGTGGATTAACAAATTACAGTTATCTGTTCTCTGGTAAGAAATGATAAATAATCTGCTAGTCTTCATTTCTCTGTCTATATTTATCCACTATGAGCTAAAATCAATAAATAATCTAAAAACAATTCTAGTTTTGATAACTTGATTGTAATTTTTGTCTATTTCTGTGTTCACTCTTGACCTATGGCTGTAGTGGTAAAACTGAAGCTGTAAGTTATCGGTGTCTATAATTCAGAAATTAATTTCATATAAATTATATGAAATCAGTATTTTAATACTCTAAGGAAGTATTAACACATTAAATTATAAAGTCTCTTAAATTAAAAGAAGTATATTAAGGTTTGTTTATAGAGAGAAATAAATATTCCTAAAATCCCAGAAAATAAAAAAATTGAACTTGTAATACTTTAACTGTATTAAACTCCTGAAAAAACTTATTACAGGAACTAAATCAGAAATAATTTAGGAATCCAAGCTCACATAATTAAATGAAACCGTTGGTAAATGAGACTAATTTAATAACTTTAGTTTTAAGTAACTGCCTTTTTTTCCTATTTATCAGTGTGAAGTATAACACAAACATATCTTATTCTACTTAAGTTTGTTTTCCCTAATGTATAGCATCAAATAAGCTAATATTATTCCTCTACAATGTTTTAAGAGTATGAAAATGAAAATCTGTGTGGATATATTTCCATTATCTAGATAGATATATACATACACACATACATATACATACATACATACATACACACACACACAGAGTGAGCACTATATGTAACTATATAACGATTATTAAGATGACCATACTAAAAATATGTTCTAACTTCAGGAAAACCATATAGTGCTCATCCCTTCTGCATCTGGTACAATTTATACTGGGCAAGTTATTCAATCTCTCTGTATTTTAGTTTCTTTGTCCCTAAAATTAGGAATGACAAGACCTACCTTACCTCATAAAGTTGTTTTGAGAATGAGTCACCACATGTAAAACAAAATTTTACTTATATTTTTATATTGTACATTACAAAACATCTGATGAAGTCAACCAATAAGATCTCTTAAACTCAAGCTAAGTATTTGATTTTTTTTAAATTTTATACAAAACTCAAAATAAATTATTGATTAAAAAATTAATCTAAAACTCAGCAAGACTAAAGCCTAGAAGCTTTTAGATAATTTCTAAACCACCTTTGTTTCCATTTTATCTTTTGTTCATTGCTGTAAATAAGCTGATTGGCATGCCGCCTTTACATTCCTCTATCTCAACACAGACATTCAAGCTTAAACAGAACTGCCAAAATAAGAGGTTGCATGGAGGAAAGTATAGTACATAAGTAGGCCTAGCCTGTGAGGTAACAAGAAGGTATTAAAATTACCATATTTTAAGTTTTTATCTCCAGTCCTGAAATAAGGATATGTCAAGCAATCAAATAAACAAAAAGGCTTTAAAAATAAAAATTATCCTGAATTGTACCCCACATCTTTAAAATGAATAAAAAATAAATTTTTTAAGAAAATAATTTTTAGGGGGACAATAGAAAAAAAGATTTCTGATAGGTATTGTGAAGGAACAGAACTTGATCTTAAGTACCTTCCAGCTATAAAACTCTGAATCTATGAATACGAGAAGCCTTAGGAAGCAAGAACTAGGATTCAGACACAGAAAAAAAAAAAGAATTTTCTTTTGATGGAGATGTGTGGGCATGACAAAGATGTGTCACTACCATGCCTTTCTAAAACACAAAATATATGTATTTCTGCTGGAATAGTTAAAACTAAGTCTTAGCCAGGCTCGGTGGCTCAGTCTGTAATCCCGCGCCTTTGGGAGGCTGAGGTGAGTGGATTGCCTGAGCCCGCGGGTTCAAGACCCGCCTGGGCAACTTGGGGAGACCTCATCTCCACAATAAATCAAAAAATTAGCTGGGCGTGGTAGTGCGCTCCTGTAGTTCCAGCTACTTGGAAGACTGAGGCGGAAGGATCACCGGAGCCCAGCAGGTCGAGGCTGCGGTGGCCGGGAGTGGCCACTGCACTCCAGTCTAGGTGACAGAGTGAGACTCCAACTCAAAAAAAAAAAAAAAGAAAAGAAAAACTAAGTCTCAAATCCTTCCTAATTTAAAATCGTTATGGAGGAGAGAAATAAACTTTTATATAAGTCATGCAGAAAACTGAATCATAAAATCTCTTATAAAGCAGCTTTAAAGGAAGAGTATACAATTAAAACAAGCCTATCAAAAATCATGCCAAACAATTATCTAGCAATTTTTTAAAATTAGCTTTTAAAAAAAAATCAAAATTATGACAAAAATAATTTTATCAATATAAGATACCTGTGTTTCGTAGAATGTCAACAAGTTTTTCTCTTTTTGAATATTGGCCAACTTGGACAACAGTCTGTTGAACATCTCTACATGCTCCACCCACTTGTCCAACAGCAACAAACAAATAATTCAACTTTAAAAACTCTGCAGCCAACCTTGAAAGACAAAAGATTACTCCTTAAGATCTTCTATTAATATTCATAATGTTCTCTAAATTCCTACAAGTGTTACTTCAATAGTAATTCGACAGCAAGTTATTAACAACTTACAATAAGATAGTTACCTAAATCACCCAAGTACTATTTAGACAAAGCTTAACTCTTTCAACCAACTGTCAATCAGAAAATCTTTGAATCCACCTATATTCCTCCCAAGATGTCCTTTCTTTCCAGGTGGAACCAATGTGTTTCTTACATGTATTGATTTATGTCTGTAACTTCTGTCTCCCTAAAACTAAGCTGGTGTATTCTGAGCTTTTCTTTTCCTAGGAAGTTGTTTGGGATCCTAGTTTTAATTCAGACATGCATTCCAAAGGATCTTTTCCACTGCTTTTCTCCCAAAATTAATCTCAATAGGTTTGTCTGTATATTTGCTCAAGAAACTAAACAGTCCTTTTTGTAGATGAATGAGAGATTGAACTTCTCAGCTACACCACACTGAACCCTAGACTGTAATTTGGTTCCTCCCTTAAAGAAAAAAGTAGGAAACAAGCCTCTAAGAATGAGGAAAGTCCAGGAGAAGCATACCAGTTGGTTTTATAGAGACTCTACTTGCAAGTATTCATGTAATTGGGAAAATTCAAGGGCATGCCAAGTTTTCCAATACTTCAGCTGGTTACACATTATGGTCTGTTCTTACACACAAACTGATGGGCAAATTAAATCAAGAAAAATTCAGAAATCAAAGGTCTACCTGCAACCACAGAGTTAAAGTCACCTGACTTCTCTACCTCTTGATTTTCCTTTCTGCTGACTTTAAATCTGCTGTTACTTTTCTACTGGTGTTGATCCGTTGTTAGGATCCAGCTGTTTGTGTGTAACCTGGTGAGTTTGTATTGCTATCTCATGACTAGAGTTCTTTTTTTTTTGAATTGGAGTCTCACTCCATCGCCCAGACTGGAGTGCATGGCTGCTTCCCAGCCACCACAGCCTTGACCTGCTGGGCTCCGGTGATCCTTCCGCCTCAGCCTTCCAAGTAGCTGGGACTACAGGCGCACGTTACCACACGCGACTAATTTTTGACTTATTGTAGAGATGAGGTCTCGCCAAGTTGCCCAGGCAGGTCTCGAACCCGCGGGCTCAGGCAATCCACTCACCTCAGCCTCCCAAGGCAGGAGATTACAGGCTGAACCATCAAGCCCAGCTTAGAGTTCTAAAGTAAAAGATACAGAACCTGTGTGTGTGTTTAGATGTGTTTATGTACACATACTTTTGTTATATGTTGTGGCTACAGGTACCAAATAGAATTAAAAATAAAGGAGTACTCATAAATTAAGCAAATAAGCCCCAAATGTTTTTCAAATTCATGTGACTTAAGTAAGTCTTTAATAAATAAGCTGGCTTTAAAATTAGATAAGGCCAAGCACAGTGACTCATGCCTGTAATCCCAGCACTTTGAGGCCAAGGTGGTAGGGTTGCTTGAGTCCAGGAGTTCGAGACCAGCCTGGGCAACAAAGCAAGACCTCATCTCTACAAAAAACAAAAAAAATTAACCTGGCAAAACTGGGCATTCCTGTAGTCACTGGGTATGCCAGCTACTCAGGAGGCTGAGGTGATACGATTGTCTGAGTCCAGAAGGACAAGGACGCAGTGAGCCATGATCACGCCAGGGCAACATACTGAGACCCTGACTCAAACAATAATAATAAAAATTAGATAAAATAAAACTAGAAATATCTTCAGAAACGTCAGCATACATTTTTGTCTGAATTTATTGGTAGTTTTATATTCATTTCTGCTACTGTAAGGTGTCAGGGTTTGCTTATAAAACTGATTTTTATAAATAAGAATAATTTAACATTGTTAGTTTGGTTAAAATGGCTAAATCCTGAGTTAGCAGCCAAAACAAACAAACAAACAAAACAAAACTATATATTTAAACTTAAGGTTCTTACTTAGGTAAATACTTGATAGTCACAGACTATAAAAATGATTAGCAAGAAAATAACTTTAGCTGATTCATGCCCATAATCCCAATACTTTGTGAGGTGGAGGTGAGAAGACTGCCTGAGTCCAGGGGTTTGAGATCAACCTAGGCAACTTGGGAAGACCTCTTCTTTACAACAAATCAAAAAATTAGCCGGGCGTGGTGGTATGTGCTTGCAGTTCCAGCTACTTGGAAGGCTGAGGCAGGATTGCCCAAGCCCAACAGGTCGAGGTTGCGGTGGCCGGGAGCGGCCACTGTACTCCAGTCTGGGCGACAGAGTGAGACTTCCTACTCAAAAAAAAAAGAGAGAGAGAGAAAAGAACTTTGAATCATGATTCGCTTTGTCTAATGTCACAGTTCTCACAAGTAATCTAGGTAAATTATTTTTAGAATAAATTTTTAAAATGTAATGGGACAATACTTATAAATGAACTTGTCATATCATTTAAAACCTTAAAGTTATATTTAACTAAATAACAAATGCTCATTTAATGTCTGGGTCATTTCTACTTTAAAAAAATGATTACTATAGGAAGACACTTTTCAAAAAACATTACAAAATGGTCCTCATCTATAAACTACTTATATGTGACAGATAATTCAAGACTTCCTACTTTGTAGGTTTTCATAAAAATTTAAGGTTATTAAGAATAAAAACTCAAGTTACTATATAATTCTGTATATAAAGTGTGTGAAGGTAAGGTGTTTTTTAATGAAAAAAAGAAAAAATTATAAGACATAAAAATGTGTTGTTGTTGTTGTTTTTGAGTTGGAGTCTCACTCTGCCGCCCAGACTAGAATACAGTGGCACATTCCCAGCCACCACAGTCTCGACCGGCTGGGCTCCAGCAATCCTTCCACCTCAGTCTTCCAAGTAGCTGGAACTACAGGTGTGCACTACCACGGCTGGCCAATTTTTGATTTATTGTAGAGACGAGATCTCGCCAAGTTGCCCAGGTGGGTCTCGAACCCCTGAGCTCAGGCAATCCACTTGCCTCAGCCTCCCAAAGTGCTGAGATAACAGGCTGAGCCACCGAGCCAGGCCAAAAATGTGTTCTTATTCAAAGGAAAATAATTTTGTCTAATTCAAAGGTTATATGTGAAACAAGGTAAAAAAGAACCAGGAGGTGGGAGAGAGACGTGGAGAAAGTTATAGATATAAAGATGTATTTTTGGTAAGAAAGGTTAAAGAGAGAATAATTTTGTATGAGAAAGAATTATACATGATAAATTTTCGTCCTAAAATAAATGACTGGTTATTTAAGAAAGAGGGAAATTTAAGATAAAACGAAGTCCAAGCATGTCATAAAATGGTCTGTTTAAGTCTTGATAAGGTTTGTAAAAAGAAAATTTATTAAAGAGGTTTTGTATGTAATTAAGTTGGCTATAATTAAAAAGGGATTATTTATATGTATAAAATATATATAATATAGAAATATATATGATATATCTTATTCTGTTTACAATATGCACCCAGGGCTTATAACCAAATATGATTCCTAAAAGATTCTCAACAAATATTACCGAGTGGCAGTAGTACGCGTTAATCATTTTAGGGTGGCCAACATCCAAATACTTTCCTATTTCAGGAAAAAATAAGAATTAATTAAGCTAATTAGGTAGGTAAATACCAAAACTGATAGTGAAAAGCAAATATCCCAACTCCAACTGAAAATACCACTCAATTGTTAAGAAATGACTATTTTTTGTGCTATTAAGAAAGAAAATATCCTGCCAACTGACCCAGTACTTTATGATTTAAATTCTTCCCCCAATAAAGAACTCTTTTTTACTTTGCATAAAGATGTATCGTATATTTAATAAAACAATTCAAAGCCAGCATCATATCTAAGGGCCTGTGGAATGTTTGATATACTAGCACAGGATTCCCATATAACATTCTATTGGACCCAGAGAGACCAACTTTATAGCAAAGGTGTCAGAACAAGCCCATAATCGTGGGATCTACAGGTCATATAATATACTGCACCACCTAGACGATGCCAGCCTGAAAAAATACTGGAACAGTCTGAGGAATGAACAGATCATGGGTCAGTTTGGAGATAACTCTTTACGAAGACAAGGCATCATCCAAGGCACAGTAATTGAATCAAAGCTCTTTATATGGTGCATAAGTCTGGGAGCCAAAGAGTGAAAGCAATGGTGGCCCATATGCCATCACTCCCAATGACCCAATTGGGAAATCTCTACTTCCCATCCTTCCTCTAACTTTAGGTTCTGCGGGTTTAGAAGTCTTAGTTTCCACCCCTCCAAACAAACAGCTCAATTAGAAAAAAAGCAAGAATCCTACTGAATTACAGATTTTTCTTGACTTACAACAGGGTTATGTGCCAATAAACCCATTGTATGTCAACTATATTCTAATTTACATTGCTGTAATGTCAGCTGAAAATGCACTTAATACCCTGATAAGCCCATCATAAAGTCAAAATATCATAAAATCTTACAATGAACCACAGTAAGCCCAGATGCTCCTCGTCTTAATAGGATTACATACTGATAAACCCAACTGTAAAGTCAAACTATCAAAGTCAAAGTCCAGGATCATCTGTATAAGCGACTATTGTTGCCTGGGCAGTTTGGGTTCCCTTTGCCAAGGGATCAGCTGGCAGGAAAAAAAAAATCACTGTTCTAACAGTGATGTGTCACTGAATCTCTGAATTCACCAGACCACATGTATATAGCATGATCTGCAAATATCTGTCAATAACTGGTATGTGAATTTTCTACCAAAGGCCCAATTCTCCCAAATCTTGTACATTTAGGTCTGAAAATAAGGCACAATAATAAAAATAACTTAATTAAGTAAGCATTTATTAAATCCTAGCTAGGTATAACACAAACACACTTCAAAAATGTGATGCTGGCCCTGCGTGGTGGCTCACACTTATAATTCCAGCACTTTGGGAGGTGGAGGTGAAAGGACTGCCTGAGGCCAGGGTTCAAGGCTAACCTGGGCAACCTGGTGATACCTCGACTCTATGATAAA